ACACACACACACACACACACACACACACACACACACACACACACACAGTCAACTAACACTGCTCAAGTTCTAGTCACTCAAAGTCTTAAATCATTGTTTTTTTACTAGGATAGAAATCAAGGTACAATTGTTTCCCCATACAATGACTCAAAAAGGTGAGTTAATGTTATTGAGAAGAGATGAAGTCTCTCGTATCAGTCTTTGTATTTTCCAGTGATTTCAGCGACACACTCCATCTCTCAATTGCCAGAAAAAAAAAATAAGTCTGGCTCTCTCTATATACAGGACAAATTGTATCACATGTTCATTCTCATTGTAAATCTAATTATAGCCTCAGTAGAACTGGGACTTTTGAAAGAATATAAAAATGATATTAAACGGGCAGACCCAGTTTGCTGATATTTGCTGATGTTAACATGAAAGCAAAGTTGCTCATGCTGGAGGGAGGATGTGTGGAGACTGAGCCCGTGTTTGAGGACAGAAAAGAATTTTCCGAAAGTCAGGGTCTTGCATAGGGCATGCAGAACATTTAAGACAAAAAAAAAAAAAAAAAGGAAGATTTTTGTCATTAAAAGAACAATTCTCATCAAGAAATTATTCCACGAGAAAAACTCAGCAAATGAACCTCCTGTAAATAATTTACTTGTGAACTCATGATACTCATTTGTGGAAGGAGCTGAATATGAAGTGAAAGAGAGCTGTATCCTGACACGTTGAGATGATGCTGAAGTCTTACACTCAAATTATTTCCCATTAGATACTTTCATGTTCATACACCTGCTGCGCTTCTTATTACACCACTCATTACAGGAACACCAAGTCAAACTGAATGCTCATCTCCGATCCACTGCTGTTTCATTTCCCCCTTAGCTACCAACGGTGACAAGAATGGACGTCTAACGTCACACAGTCACCCTGTGAGAGCTTGTATTTCCACTTCAAGATTAAAAACGTTTTGTGCGTTTTAATGAGATAGATAGTTGGAAGGTGTGGTAATATTTGCCTAAAACCTCCACAAAAATACAAACAGAAGCCTGTTAAATTCTTTTTAATGGTGAGGTTGTTGAATGCCCAGCTGAAATCCCAGCACTTTGGAGAAAAAAACAAGGTAAGTAAGTTTAAGCTCATTATGCCTGAGTTTAGGGGGTGGAGTGTGTGATAAAGATGTTTCTTTACCAGAGGGGTGGGGGACAGTATCCATTAATCTTACTCAGCTGTGAGTTCTATGAGGTACAATAACATCCCGCCTGGTAAAATATGCCCAATGGAGCAATGGTGGCTCAGTGGCGTGAGAGTAACCAACCACTTTTTGATTGGACATAAGGCTCCGAACCCAGAACTGGAACAGTTAGCAGGACCAAGAACATGGACAAGTCATAGGGGAAGGTGAGAACCTCCTAGTACTATCCTGTCAATGGCATATGATATTAAACCAACTCCTAACAATGCTTCATTGGATATATCGATTAATACATACCTCAAACCTCATCATAGACTCTATTTGCAGTAGATAATGATTAACACAAAGATCTTCAACTGGCCAAGGCACAGAGAATAAGTGAGTGCTAAGTGCAACACACAATTAAAGAAGTGATGTAAACAAGCAAATAGCTGAGCAATAAACGAACGTTTCTCAATTGTTAGCTATGGAATCCTTTTGTTTTGCTTGAATATATGGTTTACTCTAAGAAAATGATCTGGAGTGTGTGTACCACAACAGACTCATTGTGCTTTTGTTTATCGGTGTTCCGTGGTCTTTAGTAGCACACATTCATCTGAGGGGCACCTTGGATGCTGTCAGGCTGGTATATTTAGCCTTCGTCAGGACATCTAGAAACATATTGGGTAAATAGATTTTTTAAAATAGTAGATGTAGGGCTAACACCTAGAAAGCACTAGTATCGAGAAATACACAATGAACATATACAAGTAAGTGATATGTACTATTGTGGAGTGATAGATTCTGACAGTAAAACATGTCAAAGGCAGGGAAAATCAAGAAAGAAGCAACTGGAGACACAAAACAGCATGAACAGAGAGATAAACATGTTCTGTTTTGTTTGTTTGTTTGTTAGCAAAGACAAAAAATAAATTAGTGATGTCAGGTAAAGTGACTGAAATTCCCAAAGGACCAAAGGGATTTTATTTTATTTCTAAGATTTATGTATTTATTATGCATACAGTGTTCTGCCTGTATGTGTGCCTAACCTACCTAGAAGAGGGCACCAGATCGCACTATAGATGGCTGGGGTCCACCATGTGGTTGCTGGGAATTAAACTCAGGTCCTCTTTAAGAGCAGCCAGTGCTCTTAACCTCTGAGCCATCTCTCCAGGCCCAGAATTTTATTTTTTTAGCTCTACACCAAAAACATTTGATAATTTGCACTCCACTTCTGTGTTGCCTTTGACATTAAAACACTCCTTCCATTTCTAAAGGCACAAATACATCTGTAGAATAAACCATCATTTTTTAAAACAAACATCCACAGGTAGCAACAGGGAAAATCATGGCAAGACGTAACTATCATTTTCATAATTTTATATTATTTGGAGGTTAGCCTCAATTTTAAAATTCAATTAAAAATTAAATCAAATTAACCCAAAGACACTCTCTCACTCCCAATATGGTAAAGGTCATCTCAAAACATTTCAGTATCAGGAAAACTAAATCAGTTTATCTGACTTTTATCTCGTAATTAAAGAATGAAGAAGGTCCTGGCCACCATACAACTCCGCAGTTGTTTGAGAGATTATGGAAAAAAAAAAAAAAAAAAAATATATATATATATATATATATATATATATATATATATATATATATAAAATCTGGATTTGTTATCCACTGCTGTATCATTGTTGCCCTTGACTCTCTAAACACAACGGCGAATTGCACGTAAAGCTCATCATAGGCTGAGCACTGACATTGTGGGTTTTATCTATTGTAATATTTTAGTTACACAGCTTGGTAACCCAGCACCCAACCTCTACGGAATTTCTCTGGTGCCCACCTGCTTCCCCTGGAAAGGAAGCGGAGGATCGGGTGAGCAGCTTCATTTCCGGTGAGGTAGGACGAGAGCAAGCACGGTAACCAGCAGGAGAGAAATGGAGTCCTTTCAAGCGACCCGGACATAGGAAGGCGGTGTGGCTCTTTCTGACCCTGCTGGGGTGAGGGTAAAAGTCCCAGCTCAGATACTGGCCTCCACTCTTTTTTTTTTTTAATTTTTTATTAATTACACTTTATTCATTTTGTATCCCCCCATAAGCCCCTCCCTCCTCCCCTCCCGATCCCACCCACCCTCCCCTTTCTGCATGCATGCCACTCCCCAAGTCCACTGATAGGGGAGGTTCTCCTCTCCTTTCTGATCTTAGTCTATCAGTTCTCATCAAAAGTGGCTGCATTGTCCTCTACCGTGGCCTGGTAAGGCTGCTCCCCCCTCAGGGGGAGGTGATCAACGAGCAGCTGGCCTCCATTCTTACAGGCTTTATTGGCTAATTAGAAAAGTAGCTCCAATGCTTTGAAAAGCATTTCATGTTCTTCCTCAGCCTGAGAAGGAACCTACTGTCTGAACTTCGACTCTCTGGGTGTCAGAGAGCCCGTCTATTCCGATCTGTGGGACACCAAAGCACCTACTATAGCCACACACTCATCATTTGTCCCATGGAAGGATGATAGAGGGTGTGAGCCTCAAGACCTGGGATCCTTCCCCTATGACAAGGGCATGGCACATTGTCACTTGCAGACAAGATTTTAGCAGAATGAAGATGGGACCTAGACATCAGTATGACCAACAGGGGAATCCTTTTCATTATTTACTATCAAAATCTCCTGGAATAAACTGCACAAAACATGCTTAGGAAATAATTAACGGTAGAATAGACTTTTTTTTTTCTCATCAGTCATGATTTCATGTCAGATCTGAAAATCTTCATATAATTACCAATAACAGTTACCAAATGTTCCTACTGATAAAATCTAATTAAAATATTTTTGACAGTATGATAGTAAATATTCTCCATGTAGTTATTAGAATCGCAGTCACTGATGTTTGAATATAAGGAAAGCAAGCCACTGAAAACTTACTCTGCCAACTGGAGCACA